GTCAACCATCATAGACATTAGCAGACAAATATCTATATTCATATAGATATGTTTTACCGCCCTTAGCATGTAAATTCTCTCAGAAGGCAAATTTAGCATGAATCACATCACATATACTCCCTCCGTCCACAAATAAACTTTACGTTCACTATTCACAGGGTCAAACTTTATTCGCTTTGTTGGCATATTTTCGTTACCCATTTGATAAAATAATATAGTCAAGTCACCTCTAGTTTTGTAGATCTTTTGATATAGCTTTTTAATATGTGATTTTTATTTTAAAATTTTACACCATTTTCCATATAAAATGATTTAAAAGTAACTTCAGTCAAACATCGTAACACACAACGTAAAGTTTATTTGTGGACGGAGGGAGTATAAACTTGGAGCATTAATAAAGCAAAGACATTCAAGTTTATCTGCATTCTTAATATAAATGAAATATGAAAAATGCTAAGAAGTGAAAAAAAGAGACGTTAGAAATTGATGAGAAGAGAGAGAAACTTTTTTGGCCACGTTCTTTTATTTAAAATTAAAGTAAAAATTATTTTGGAACTGGCGGAAAAGAAAATGAAGGAAGATCAGTTAGGGATGGAGGGACTATAATAGATTATGAAGCCCTTTAGAGATTATAACCTTTTCTTAAGAGAAGACCAGACAGTACCATAGTACTCATTTGAACTTTGATCACTCTTAGCTTACATAAACCGCACTCCATTGAAACTATGACGCCGGCTGTCATGAGCACGGAAATGGCTGCGGTTAATGAACAAGATTTATGTGAGAGGATGGGCTTGTTTGGGAATAGCGTTAGAGATTAGCGTTAACGTTTTGGATAAAATTTTAACGGTGCAGATTACTTTGAAAATGCTAACGCTAAATGCTCGCCGTAGATAGCCTTTTCAAAACACTAACGCTAATCTCTATCACTATTCCCAAACAGGCCCGATAGGAATAGTTTTTTAATCCTATGGGCATAAATTAAAGTAGAAAATTTGATCAACTCATATGTGCTACAACATAAATGGCCTATGCCAACAATTTAAAACTGTTGTAAAAAATACTAATAACAAAAGTTGTTGCCTTACATCAAGACAATAGAAGTTGAGTGTTGCATTTGCCTTTGTTGTCTTTCCATAAGGCAATGGTTTTAGTACAAAAGGAAACACTTTGTGAAAATGAGTTTATATGTAGTTTAGGCAACAATTTTTTAAGACAAGTCATCTATAATTGTTTCCTTTATGAGCTAATATACCTAGTTCTTTCTATTATTAATAATAATAATCACCATCATCATGTTAATAATAATAATTATTATTATTATAATAACAACAACAACAAAGCAAACATGAGAACATCTAATGTTTTAATATACAGAATACTATTTGAAGTACCTTTTTTAAGAAAAAATTTATTACTCGGGGTATAAAACAAAAGGAAAGTACAAGAGGGGAGGAACAAACCGAAGCCCCTCGGGATACAAAACGGATGAAAACTCTAACCATAGCAAACCAAAACATCCTACTTCAATCTACAAAATACGGAGTAATAAAAAACCATTGCAAGATTGTCACAGCAGACCATCAGACACAAGAAAGAACAAAGATTTACCAGGCACATAGAACCAGTTGATCATAAGATAGACCAGCAGCCAATAGAGCAAGCACCGTCAAAACCTCAGCTCCCTAACGACAGCAACAAGACCAACTACATGACATAAACAAGTAGTCACAGAAAGCAGGAAAACCATGTCTTTTATAAGCTTTTACAACAGCCAAACACATCATCATAAGAGCAACAACACAAGTTTCAATTATTTATTATCACAAAACTAAACATAAAAAGCAAAAAAGACTCTTTTAAGAAGAAGAAGAAGAAGGACATCCATAAATAAAGACTCTTTTTAGCAACACCCAGAAAAACAAGAATTTAGTTGTGGGATGAAACTTACATCAGAAATCGGAACAGATAAGATTCTAAGGATCGCATAATAGGGGCATTTGCAGGGAGAGGAATTCGAGTGCAGCTAGGGTTTTATGGCATTTGCAATGGGGCTGCCAATTCCAGCGCCAGAAGAAGAGGAAGGGCGAGCGGCGGTCCTGCATTGCGGAACGCCCGCCTGGCCGGTTGCCGCGGCGCACGCCGGGCGCAGCGCCGGTTCTGCGGTGCGGGCGAGGACGCTGCAGGAGTGCAGGTTGGCCGTCCACTGGATTCCAAACTTTTTTATTTAATCTCTTTTTTTTTAATTTTTAAATCTATTTTTTTGAAAGAGATAAAATAATTTTAAAATCTATAAATTCATCACACGGAACGGTTCTCATGACATTGCCGGGGCCACTCTGATGCCCCGCTTGTAAAATTGAGGGTTCCTGATCCCTAACTTTCCGGTAAATCTCTCACCTTGTCTCGACCCGAACACATCCTTCCACCCCCTTTAATTACACCCCACAAGTTAATTTTGACTATGGAATCAAATTTTGACTTCAAAGCCAAAATTAACTTGCAGAGTGCAATTGAAGAGGTTGAAGTTATGTTCAGGTTGGGGCAAGATGGAGGGGGAATATTGTCAATCTTATTATCGGAGCACCGACGCGCCCCTGGGTTATCTAATGACATGAGGTTCCAATGTCATTGGAACCCACCGTTCATCACATATACAATTTTAATTCATCTCACTATCATCTCTTCTTAATGTCACTATCCAAACACGAATTTGGGCGGCAACAACTTTCCCTTCAAGCAATCCGACTTTGATACAGTTGTCCAATTTGCAAACTCGACTAGTTTTCCAACCATGTGAGTGGTCGACAGTTGTCCCTTGTTCTCGAACTTCAACTATAGCCCCTACCAATTATCGGCCGTTAATATGACCGACTACAATATTTTTTGAGCTCATCAGCGAATGCATTACAACATTAGCAAAGGGAATGCCAACAAAATGACAGGTTTTACATCGGCCATGTCTAATATTGACGAAATTTAACATCGACGTGTCGAAAAACGCTATCATTGCCAACTCCCAAAAATTCAAAATCTTCTGGAAGTAAATGTTCAATTTTTTCCTTTTTTTGAATTTTCGTATAAGAATAGAAGCAACCATAGAATAGAAGATTTTTTATATAAAAATTGATCTTTTCAATTGTAACATCTGTATCACATGTCGAGTTTTTAAAACTTGGAATCTTTATATATATATATATATATATATATATATATATATATATATATATATATATATATAATATAATATCATAAAACACATAGACTACTACTTTGCATATATTTGTGATTTAAAAACTAAAAAATAAAAATAGTAAATGATAATTTTTTACACATAGCATTTTTTAACAATTATGTTTATAAAAGCCATATTAGGCATCATTGCATCAACGTTAGAAATTAAAAAAAATTATCTGATTATGGTTTTCACTATTAAAAGTCCTATTAGGAATCATTGCATCAACGTTAGAAATTAAAAAAATTATCTGATGATGGCACAATAAGAAAAAAAACATATGGACATGATATTCCACCTATTTTAAAAATTTAAATTATTCTTGTTAATTTAATATTGACCCCAATTTAAAATTAAATTATTTTTACACCATGAATTATTATTTTGGTAACAGCGGGTTAACGGAACGGCCTGTTTTGTTCAACAAAATGAAAGTTGAGATTATTTTTAGTGAATTTTTGTTTTTTATTTATTTAAATATTTATTTAAGTTTTTAAAAAACTTTCTACATAAATTTATTTTTCCTTTTTTTAAATATTATTCTTCTTTTATAAAAAATAAGTATAAAATATAAAAAATAAGTATACAAATATTAAATATAAGATTTCAGTTATTGTTCTCATTTTTTTTGTATCTATTTTTTTATTTATATCCAAAGTTAGACTAATCTTTAAAAGAATACAACAAAATGAAAGTTGGGATTACTTTTAGTGAATTTTTGTTTTTTATTTATTTAAATATTTATTTATGTTTTTTAAAAAACTTTCTACATAAATTTCTTTTTCCTTTTTTAAATATTATTCTTATCTTATAAAAAAATAAGTATAAAATATTAAATATAAAAAATAAGTATAAAAATATTAAGTATAAGATTTCAGTTATTTTTTTCATTTTTTATTTTTTATATCTAGTTTTTTATTTATATCCAAAGTTAGACTAATCTTTAAAAGAATACAAATGATAGAAATCAAACTAAAAATGAGAAGTAGACATATTTGGAACAAGAAAACGAGATTTCAGGACATAATGCTCATACGTCTCACAAGAATGACATTTAATCAATGAAAAAATTGATGGAAAGAAATCAGAGAGAAATAAAGCAAGAGATTGAGCCGATCTAGGGTTATATTTGAAGGGCCGAACCTGTCGATGGCGCTGGATGGAGATAACGACTCTGAACGAAGGCAGCGACGATGGAGACGGTCTTATGGTAAATATGATGCTGGGTAGGATGGGGATGGAGACGCAAAACAATTAATGAAGATAACATTAACGTATGATGGAGCTGAAGGGAAGAAAAATAAAATAATTTTGGATTGAGGCCAATGTTAAATTAACAAGAATAATTTAAGTTTTTTAAAAAGATGGAATATTGCGTCCACATGTCTCTTTCTCATTGCGCCACATGGGAAGCGTTTTAAAACCCTTACTTTTGAAGATGCACAGAAGGAACTGCCCTAATCGAAACATTTTTCTCAAATAAAGTCAAACTTTACTCTGTATATCTTAAAAAAATGAAAAATGCTAGGGGTACACGAAAGGTGTACCCCATATGTCCCTCACCCCCTCCTTGTCCACTAAAAAAGGTAAAAAAAAAATTTAAAAAATAAGTAAATAAAAATCAAATAAAAATGTGTGGTAAAAAAAGGGGTGATGTACATTTGGGGTACACCTTTTGATGTACCCCTAGCATTGCTCTAAAAAAATTATACTCCCTATTTAAAAAATTTAGCAAGTACTCTCTATACTCATAATTATCGTGTTTGTATGTCTTAGTGGCACCTATCATTTTCCATCTGTAATTCTGTACTCATTACTCCGGCATCTCGTCCTATTCGCCGCCGCGGCCGCGCATCCACGAAATCACCAATCTGCCACGGGTCACTTCCAACGCCGTCATTCCTTCGTTCTCCTCTCCAATTCTCCAATCTAAAAAAGGTACTTAATTTTGGAGTAATTAATTTTGAATATCAGTAGTCCGTAATTTATTATGTGATTTTCTTTCAAAAAAGATTTGATTTTTTTGGTATTTTATTTGGATATTTTGCCACTTGTTATGAATTCAATTGACTGTTAATATTATTCACTATAAATTTATTTATTCCGTAAACCATAATTCTTAAATTAATATTTATCCATTAATTTAGGATCTTCAATGCAAAGATATTTTTAAAAAATGACCAAAATTTAAAGAATCCAAGTTGGAAGTAGGAGAAATTTTAATATTAATGCTTCAACATCTCAAGCAAATGTTGGTAACTATATTATATTTTGGTGGGTTTTCAATTTTTCATTGACATTGAACACCATTGTCATGGCAGGACACTGATCCATTTGGTGCACATATGGTGCTCTATGAGGCCCAAGTAGTTTCTATTCCCACTCCATTGCCCCCCCCCCCCCCAATTCACTGATTTGCTACAACGGTAGCAAATCAAATATTGGAGCGGGGTAGGGAGGTTAGGGCTAAGAACTATTTGCGGGCCCCATGAAGTATTGTATGGTGTCCGATGTCATCCATGATATTGAAAACTAATGTCATCGTGGTGATTTTTTTGTTGAAATTATGAACTATTCAAATACGGAGTAGCAAATACTCCCTACATCTTTTTGTTTTTTTTGTTGAAAATTATGAACTACCTTGGGTCGAAGACTCTGAGGTCTTGGACCCATGGTCACATAATCCTTGATCTGCCTTAGACCACATGTCTACGTCTCCGGCGTTGAATGATAATTTGTGTATATGTCTGTGATCTCGTGTCTCCTTCTATGTGTATATGTATGTGTGGAAATAGTATACAGATATATATGTGTGTATATATGTAGATGATGGTGGTTGTTAAGTCTGTGAGATTGTCCATGTGAAAGCGTTACAGAGACACATGATGTTTGTGTCGGGGGTGGTGGTCAGAAGTTGCTGGTAGTGGTCGGCGGGTTGTTGGTGTTTTTGTGTCTATGTGAAAACACTACGAAGAGTCGAGGACATATGATATGTGCAAATGACAATAGTTAGAAGTTGTGGGCGGTGGTTGGTGTATTGTGCATTTCTTTGTATGTCTGTGCGTCAGTGTGAAAGTACTACACGGACATGTGATGTACACATGTGTAAATGTTCATGGTCACTACGATGATGACCTGTAGTCGGTGATGTGATGGTCAAAAGCCTAGTAACAATGATGGGAGGTCTGGCAAGAGTTGGTGAGAAATAGGAGGGAATGCGTATCTCTTTCTCTCTCTCTCTCTCTCTCTCTCTCTGTGTGTGTGTGTGTGTGTGTATAATGTGGGGTAAAAGTTGGGGCAACCGAACATGATCGCTAAATGTATGAGCAACAATAAACAATGAACTGAATGCCAAGAAAGGAGGTAATGCTAGGTTCCTACTCTTGGCAACCACTATGAGGTGCGACCGTAAGCTCACATTGTCATTCCTTATTTGTCAGACTAAGATTTAAAATCTGCTTACCTCCTCTCATCTAATAACTATTCACCCGATTCTGAAGGGCAATAAGGATGGGTTAATCCTTTTTTTAATGTCATCTATATATTTGGAAAACTTGGGAAAAATAATACAAACTATGTCTATGGTGCAAAAAAAACACGAACCAAACATGTATTTAACTATGACACAATTTATGATGTTAGGGTGCTTCATCTGAATTTGCAGCCAATTGTCATTGCATGTAAAGTGGGCCCACACCAAATTTTAGGAAATTGGATGAGAATTTAAACCAAGTTGGCCTTCAAATATTTCTTATCTACTCTCCATCTTAACAAACATTCATTTCATTGAAGAAGAGGGAGCTATTTAGAGATGCAACTGTTGCAGTCAAAGAATCCCAGAGTTAGTGGTCGGGCTAGTCTATTTACATTATTGATGGCAAGGTAGTCCTTTGCTTCTTTCTTCTAGCCGTCCTTTGTCCAAACCGAATGTCCAAATTGNATGTAAAGTGGGCCCACACCAAATTTTAGGAAATTGGATGAGAATTTAAACCAAGTTGGCCTTCAAATATTTCTTATCTACTCTCCATCTTAACAAACATTCATTTCATTGAAGAAGAGGGAGCTATTTAGAGATGCAACTGTTGCAGTCAAAGAATCCCAGAGTTAGTGGTCGGGCTAGTCTATTTACATTATTGATGGCAAGGTAGTCCTTTGCTTCTTTCTTCTAGCCGTCCTTTGTCCAAACCGAATGTCCAAATTGAAGGTGTAGATTTCATTAACAAATCTTTTACTCCCTCCGTTCCACTATTTTGGGACATGGGGGAGTGGCACGGAAATTTTAAAAAGTAAGTTTGTGTGGTTGATATTGATGTTAAAAAGATAAAGTAAGAATGATTGTGAACCACACAAATATGACAAAATATGGAATGAGACAAAAATAGTGGGACGGACAAAAAAGGTAAAATTAGACAAAAACAATGGGAAGGAGGGAGTATATCATTGGCTATGGCTGATTCACCTTTATCTTTTCTGTTTTGTTTTGCACAGAAGAAAAGGCCATTTCTTGAAAGGGAGAGAGAGGATGAGGTGGCTTTAGAGTGCAAATGATTTTTCCATCTATGTATTCCTTTTTCGCTCTTTTCTTGATTGAGAATAAATTGAGAGTAATAGATGGGAAAGTGTATCTTAATCATAACATAAATAGGCTCTGGCTGGCATGAAATTTTTGGGTATAAAGCCACTGGTACAAGAAAATGCACTTAGGAACGGCTACCTCTTTGCTCTCCCTTATACGGAAATATGAATTCAGCCGCCCAGCAATTCAGCAACTCCATTCTCATTTGATCTTTGCTTCCACAAGCACTTTCTCTGATGCGACGCCGATCATATTCACCATCTGGAACTCTATTCTCCGCCACTACTCCCTCGGGCCCATCCCACAAGAAGCTGTCTTCCTCTTCAAGCACCTGCAGCTCAAATTGCCGACTGGGTTCTTTTTCGACAGTTTCTCTTATTCTTTTCTCATTAAAGCTGCCGCTTATCTATTTCAGCCCGTTATTGGGAAACAAGTTCACTGCCTGACTTTAAAATCTGGGTTTCATTCTCATGTTTATGTGCAAACTGCTTTGTTAGGTATGTATGTTAATTGTCGCTGTCTAGTGGAATCATGTCATGTGTTTCAAGAAATGCCTGTCAGAAATAGCGTGACTTGGAATGCTTTTATTACCGGGCTCATCAGATGGGGTGAGCTTAGCTTTGCCCGTACTGTTTTTGATGCGATGCCTGAGAAAAATGTGGTTTCGTGGACGGGTGTTATTGATGGGTACACTCGCGTGGGGAAGTTCAATGAAGCTTTGTTGTTGTTCCGTGAGATGGTTGTGTCTGAGGGGATTAAACCGAGTGAAATAACACTCTTAACAATTTTCCCTGCTATTTGGAATACTGGTTATCTTGAATCTTGCCAAATGCTGCACGCTTATGGGGTGAAAAGTGGGATCAACTCGTTTGATATCCGCGTCATGAATTCCCTTGTTGATGCATACTCCAAGTGTGGGAGTATAAAGTCTGCCTCAAAAGTTTTTTGCGACATAGAAGATGAGAGGAGGAATCTTGTCTCGTGGACATCAATCATATCAGGGTTTGCGATGCATGGGATGGCTGAAGAAGCTTCGGATTGTTTTCGGATGATGCAGAGTGCAAATGTTAGGCCAAATCAGATTACACTTTTAAGTGTGCTTCATGCTTGTAGTCACGGTGGTTTGGTGGATGAAGGAGTTGAATTTTTTGCAAAGATGGTCAATGGGTTCGGTCTTCGACCCAACATTAAACATTATGGGAGCTTGATAGACATGTTGGGGAGAGCAGGGAGATTAGAAGAAGCTGAAAGGATAGCCTTGGAGGTGCCTAGTGACACCTCTAATGTTGTTATATGGAGAACACTTTTGGGCGCTTGTAGCTTTCATGGGAATGCAGAGGTGGGACAGAGAGTTATGCAAAAGGTTATGGAGCTGGAGAAAACATATGGTGGTGATTATGTGCTTCTTTCTAATATTTTTGCGAATGATGGTAGGTATATAGATTCAGAGGGCGTGAGGAGATTAATGGATGAAGAAAATGCTCAAAAGGTTCCTGGCCTTAGTTTTTGCTAAATCTTAGAAAAAGGTCTTGAAAGGGTCCCCCCGGGCAATCTTCATGTGAAAGCAATGGGTAAATGACCAAATAAGGTAACGGCTTCTCACCCATTTCACTTACTCCGTATATGATTGTCATTACTTTAGTGTCAACTGCACACTATTTCTCAATTTAGTTCAAAAAAGAACTACAGAGTCTATTATTCAATTTACTTCTCAACTATTTTTGGACTCAATTGGATCTTGGACTATGTAATTGTCTATGCAAATCATGATCAAAATTTATAAGTTTTGAACGTAAAAGTTAAAATGAGAACTTAATTTCAAGACAGACGGTGAAATGGGGAAGTTTGTCTTATAACCCGAAATTTGAAATATATCTTGTTTTTAAATTGGCTCGTTGTAAAATATTCTAAAATGATTTCTTTTGCTATAATTGATACTATCTGATTGTTTGAATGATTTCAACTCAAATATCCATCTGAATATAGATATTAGTTCGGCCCAAGCTAAGGATGAGAATGACTTGCATGAAGCTTCTGTCTTTTAGGTAATAAAGCCTCTGCCACAAGAACTGCACCCATGAACATCGATCTTCTTGCTCTCCCTCATATAGAAACACAATTTCAAGCACCCAACCATTCGGCAATTGCATTCTTATTTGATACTCCGTATTTGCTTTCACGATCGCTTTCTCTGCCGCCAAACATATTAACTATCAAACTCTATTCTCCGTCACCACCCCACAAGATGCTGCTCCTATTCAAGCAGCATCAACTCAATGTCTCAATTTGCCACCCGGGTTAGATCGAGCCAAATTTATAAACTACATTAACTCAATCAGTTCTCATTGTTTAATTAATGTAGAACTACTGTATGCTCCCTCCGTTCCAAAATTATTAAAACACTTGAGTTTCTGACTGCTGCCTTTCGCAAGATCATTCGGCAACAGGCAAGTCCACAAAATGTGAGGCAACTCTTTGGCACACTTGTCGTGGAAAGCTTCTAGCTTCTTCTTCAAGCCACCAAAATTGTAGTTGTGCTTGATCCTTTAACTTGCTAAAAAATCGTTGAAGGATTACAGACCAAATATGGTGCTGTTGTCTGTGATGCTTTGCTAAGGCACACAAGCCAACATAGGATTGTTTGGCCACGAACTTGCAACATTAGCCTTCGATGATTCTTGTGTGGGGGGTTCGCTTCCACCCACTTGGTAAAGTAGTCAATGGAGAGAAAGGCCCATGTCATGCTTCCCATCACCCTAGCGAGCGCTCGTGGCAATTTGATTCCCCACCTTGCAAAGGGAATGATTGTGCTACTAGGGGATACTAGGTGTGAAGTTGGTGGTTGGTTGCTTGGGCACCTTTTGGAATTTTTGATGCATTTTTTACTTCTTCACTAAACGAGCACAATCCTTGATAACGGTAGGCCAAAAATAAATAGTGTATGCTTATCTTCCGGTAGGGGTGGACAAGGTTCAGGTTTGGAACCAGAACCTAGGGTTCTTGGGAACTAAGCCAGACCCCTAGGGGAAAGGTGATAGTTCAGGTCCTCTATTTTGGGACCTGGAACCGGCAGTTTCGGTTCTAATTCTTTTGGTTTTGTTGGATAGTTGCTAGCAGCCTCCACATGCGACCATTTTTTCACACTTTATTCATACCCTATTCTTTTCTATACATACCCTACATACTTTATTCACTCAATTCTCAACTTCTAATTCTTTGACTCTCTTAAATCTTAATTACCGTACTCTCTACAAATTTCTTCCCTATAAGTACCTTACACTTATCATTGTATTATTTGTATGATTGATAAAATTTATGAATGTATTTTATGTTGTTTATCAAGGACCCATTTGATAATAGCTTTAGAGTTTAGCTTTAGCATTTTCAAAAAGCGGCAGTGTTTAACTATACGGTTTTCAAAGTTAATCCATACCATTAAAAAATTATCAAAGGCCTAAGCCATAAATTTATACATATCATATCAGGGCCTTAATGTTCTTTTTTTAATCAATTTTCTTTGATCCAGGTAGAGGGAAACCATGGCATCTTGTGGTGAAGAAGTCTTTTCTTTCATGAGGCTTGCTCTAAACCAGGCAAAGCTTGCCTTGGATAGCCTTGAAGTACCAGTAGGCTGTGTCATTGTAGAGGACGGCGAGGTCATTGCTTGGGGAAGGAACAGGACCACAGAGACTAGAAATGGCACACGGCACGCGGAGATGGAAGCCATTGATTCTTTACTTGAGAATTGGAAGAAGAACGGGCTTTCGCCAGGTGAGGTTTCCTTGAGATTCTCAAAATGCATCCTCCACGTGACTTGCGAGCCCTGTATAATGTGTGCTGCGGCACTGTCTTACATTGGCGTCAAAGAAGTATATTACGGTTGCCCGAACGATAAATTTGGGGGTTGTGGGTCCATACTGCCGCTGCACGCCGGAGGAGATGGGGGCGGTGCTAAGAAGGGGTTTGGATGTGTGGGAGGTGTAATGGCGTCTGAAGCAGTGTCTCTTCTGCGCAGCTTCTACGAACAGGGAAATCCAAACGCTCCCAAGCCTCATAGGCCACTGAAGGGGAAAAACACTTCTTGAATAATGCCATATAAGATTTGGCTTAATGTGTGTGTGTGTGTGTGTGTCTTTTCTACCTTTTGGGTAGGTTTTGATGCTTTGTTCTTGGATGGTTCTTGTTTGAAATTTTAATGTGCTCTTGAATATTATAGTCCCTTTGTGATTTGTTTCCATAAGTACTTGGGCTTAGTTTGAGAATAACGTTGTTAGTATTTATTTTCATAATTTTTTATGATGCAGATTCATTTGAAAAATTCTAAAACCACATACTGCTTTTAGATTGTGCGGAGTATCTTCTAAAAATGAAAAAAGAAATGCTAAAGTTGGACGTTGAATCTATGGTCAAACATGAAAAATTAATTTAAATTTCTATTTTTGGTGCCGTGTTTTTGTTTTCTTAGATTAATAGAATTCAATTCTTGTTATCTACCTATCTATCTAATTTTGCTGATCATTATTTAAAATTATTTAAGGTAATTTTTATGTATTTTTAAATATATAGAGTAATATTTTTATATCTAACTTTTGCACCTATATTTTAATAAATTAAGTGAATATAACTTTAATAAATTTTTTTTATTAATATATCCATCTTGTTTCACAAAACTCTTTTGCCTTAATTTTTTGGGCACTCAATAAAACACTTATACGTCATCTAAGATGTGTAAAATATAACTATTACGTAATTTATAACCGATAGAACTTATTTTAAAGGTATTTTAAATATTTTAGCTATGTTAGAAATATATTATGGGATGTACAAAAATTGGGATAGAACTCTTTTGTAAAACGGATGGAATGTATACATATAAATAAATATTCCATTTATTAATGTTCAAAATATTGTATTGAAGACCGTAAAGTAAATAAAGATAACAAAAAAGAGGATGGAGGTAGTATTTGTTACTACCTCCGTCCCAATTTATAACGCCTGTTTCGGTTTACGATGTTTGACTGAAATTATTTTCAAACCATTTTATATGACAAATGGTATAGAATTAAAAAATAAAAATTACATATTAAAAAACTACATCAAAAGATCTACAAAACTAGTAGTGACAATAATATTTTATTTTATTAAATTGCTAACGAAAATAGAGAAAGAAAGTAAATAAAGTTTGACCCTGTGAATAGTAAACAGACATTATAATTTGGGACGGGTACTCTTAGAGCACTGGTAATACCCCTCACGCCCACCAGCGTTACGGGGCGTTTAACGCCCCGGGGGCGTGAAACACCGCCCCCCGCCGGCGTGAAAAGGGCGTGAGGGCGCCTGTGTCAAACGAATGACGCGGCGTGAGGGCCGTTTATTCTTCCCAACGGCTATAATGCCGTTACCCCCCTCCCCCAATTAAAAAAAATAAATTTAAAAAAAAAACCTATAAAATCCCCCCTTCTCATACATTTTCCTCACACCTCTCTCTAACAAATCTCTCTTTATTACTATATATTCTCTCAAAAAATTTATTATTTATTATAAATATTTATAAAATATAATTTAAAAATGGGTTCATCTTCCGACGATGAAAGAAGAGCTTTATTTTTTCGTTGTTTCGCGACGAATTGTATTCAATGGTGGAAAGATGGCCAAGAAGAAGCCGAATCCTCCCGGCGACGGACCCGACGCCAACGTCTTAACCGGGATCGAGCGGCCGCCCACGATTCACTTCTAAATGACTACTTTAATAATCCGTGTGTTTATACACCGGAGGATTTTAGTAATCGTTTTCGGATGAGTCGTCCTCTGTTCTTACGCATACTCGCCGATGTTGAACGCGAAGTTCCTTGGTTCAACCAACGGTTTGATGCGAGAGGCCGACGCGGGTTTAGTAGCGTCCAAAAGTGCACTGCCGCGCTTCGTCAGTTGGCGTACGGGACGGCATCC